TATGGGACAAGAGAAGCACCAGCTTGTAAGCTATTCCCATAATAGAACTTCGACTTTGAATTTGACTTCAAATCTTTTTCATAAATTCCTTTAGTCACAATTGGTCAATAATAGATACAAATGAAAACAAAAGTACAGATAGATATATGTTTAATTTGAACAAAATAAGTCATGCTTCTCATTGGTATCTGGTACTCAATCCCATGTCTTGCTGCGTTTATTATTTGGATTCCTCCCCCCCCCCGGATATTATAATATTCAACCGGTGGACTGATGAAGATTTCGGGTACCCGCTTCTCAGCTGAGTCCACTTCACTTATATAATCTTGCCACCGAAATAACCGTCCACGCGCTTAGTGGGGCTTGGGCACGAAAAGTGTGCTGACCATTAAAATAAAGCATGCAGATTCGACCGGTGAGATTGGAAACATATTGTGTCCCTGAGTACGACGATATTCTATAGCACTTTCACTTAGTACCAATAAAATAAGGTCGTTTTCTTTGCCAGACATGTAGAGGCTAACCGTCAAATTGAGCCCTGAGCATGTGTGTGCATCAAATTTACCGATTTTTCGACTGAGTCGTCCAGTCTGGTTTTCTTGTGAGCTTTGGTCAAAAGAGGTTCAAGGTTTGACCATCGTCTTCACTAAATGGGCAACAAATTTTTCTGGTGAAGTTAATGAAAACGATGGTCCGGTTGCGGGCGGGTTCACCTCGTTGGTCCATGTTAACATTGTCTTAACGTTGACCTTTTTTCGTACATGGCAAAAAATACAAATACACAAATACCATTGCTTCCAATTGTATTTTCGAACTCATCAGGTATTTTTAATAGAATAAATATGACAATTCTGGAGTTTGATGATGCATCTGAGTGAAATCTCTTCGGCGGAGTGATGCATATTTAGTAGTCTCAATGTGCACGGAATATTCAACTCACCAAACCCCTATCAAATACGTCTTTGAAATTTATCCACATACTTCTAAATTGGTACATAAAATCATTTACTGGATTTGATCATTCATTTTTGTCACAAGAAACTTCTTTAAACTTCCTTATCCATTTTGTAGCATTATGATATTATCTGAGTTACATTACTTGCTGGCCCATCACCAGCCGGTTCCTCCTGATAAACATTATTGCGTTCTATTCTGATTCAACCAAACATAAATTGTGTTTTTCGCCACAGTGCTCCTAACTTCCTTTTCATACTTTCCATATTAGACTATTGATGATATCTAGCGGAAGATGATATCGAAAATTCAATATCGCCAGGTGGAATATCGGTCCCATATATTAGACCTAACACTTAACCTAGAGAGCAGTCAACCGTTCTCCAGCGTCCAGAGATCGTTGAAAACTGATGAACAGTGTGGAAACTGCAAAGCAGGTGTCACAATAAAGTTAGGGATCTGGGACTAATAGTCACTGCGTGCTTAAGGTCGATGGTACAACGGGATGTGGTAGTGTACCAAGATCACCGCTTTTGTGCTAGACAACCGAAGTATAAATAACTATTTGCTAGCCTGTTGTAAGAATAATCTATTGTACCGCGTTTAGGTTTGGTTGCTCTCCTACAAAAGGAACGTAATTAGCTTGGGCAAATTTCGGTGATTAGCAACAAGAATAGATTTTGGCCATCAGGTTAAGTCTAACCAAACAGCAAACTCATCGAAGCGCTTATGAAGGAACTGACGGGGCTTAACCCAAGCACCTTCTTCGTCAATGCCCGTCCCCCACCGACACATTCGCGATTGTGCGCTCAATCTCATAACAGTCATCTGAACAAAAAATCCAAACACAGTTCTTAATGGTTTCGGCATTCAGGTGATGTAATAATATGCACGATCTACAATCCTCGGACAAAACGGATTGGAGTTCTGTCTGGATTTAAATTACTGGTATCCGACGTAATCCTGCAGGCATAACGTGGAACGCCTAAACATTATACGTCTCTCCCTAACAAAACGAGAAATACATTTTCTTCGTTGACATATGTATATATCTCCAAACAGATGGCTCGACATAACAAGTGCAGAGAGGGATGCACACATATTAAAAAACGACTGGAGACGATTCGGAAGTCAGACTAGCAGTAACTGCTATTCCTCCTTTACAGACTAACCTGGTGTGGCTTAGCTTATCGTTTCCTGCGTTGAGGCCGGTAGGAATCACTACGAGTCAACTGAACCGAACGAACCGCCTCATCTTTTATGGGTGTCCGGAATAATTTTCCCTGAAAACGTGGAGGAGCAATGCTCAAATACCTTACATTCCATTCCAGTTTTCGTTCGGTTATCGAAGAGACTACTGCCCAGAATGGAACAACACATTGTGCCACCTTGAGAGAGGAGTTACACTATAATTTTCTGAAACTGTACATTTCCGTGTGGAACAAATTGTCCACTGACACAAGCATGTTTGGGTTGTGTGTCTGAACACGGTTGAGTTGGATTCATGTCCAGACCGCTTTCTTTCGATTCGGATTCGGTGATGTCATTCACTGTGACAAACGGCACCAGTACATCATCGCCGTACAAATGCCGCACATAACGACCCGGATTGTACACAGTCGGTACCCAGTGACCAAGCATGGAGACGCGTGTCGAGCGCACAAACATGCCTTTGCGAGAACAAAGCAATTTTGCCCTTCCGGCTAGTTGGATGCGCCAATTGAACGAGGTGAGCGTGTGATGCAAACAGGCCGCGTGAGCGTGTCTTGCACAGGTCTCAAAACGTTCTCGTTCCATGGTCAAATATTCCCGCTGGGTTAGAGTACACACCCCGGACGGATCGAGTGAGCGTTGCACAAAACGGCCCAATGTGGCCAACTGGTACACGTCCCAAGTCACTTCGAACTCGTGTGTCCACGGAGCCAAACCACCGGTCACTTTTAATGCAGTCAGCAAACTGTCCGAGGTGAAGCAGATGGATACGTTTTCTCGCAAAGCGAATTGGAAAAATGCATTCACACAATAAGCCAATTCCCATAGACAACACGGTGGCATTACGTAACCGGGTTGGGCAAAATTTTCACAATTTATATCAACTTCGGAGCAGTTCCAGGTGTGCTTGATCGGACCGGGAAGCAGAATGCGTGAAACAATCCACAGTTTGGCCAATTGAAGCCAAATGGATTTGGGTGTTTCACTCAATCCCTGATCACCACCACCACCAGTACCACGACTCGCATTGTTTCCAGCCACATGAAAAAGGACATCAAAACACGAAACCACGTGATTAGTTCGAACGGTGACACCGTGATATTGTACACTTTTATGGACCAGTTGCAGAAACATGTCGACAAACGGGAGTGTTCGACCAGTCAAACGTTCTTGCCAATGTTCCAAAAACAAAGCCCGGCGGATGAGGAATGGTGAGGAAATATAATCGCAATAAGCACATGATTGAACGGAACGATCATAGCCCGGTTGGAATCGTATGGTGAAGTTTTTCACTGCGGTCTAATCAGTAGTGGTAAAATCCAATAGGAAGAAGGACGATTGCATTAGAACACAAGGAACAGAATTTGGCATAAGTTAAGTATTGATTATCGAATGGCATTCAGAAGTGGCACGTTTTCAAATCGTATAAATAAACTATCAAACATATTGGAATAACCGTCAATTGTTTGCAATCTTTCACTTAAAAAGACAACTCTATCGGAAACTATTTTCAGAAAAACTTGGACCAAATATGTATATCCTTCTCGGAAAGTCGGTCAATACAAAATAAATAAGAAATAAGATTTGAAAATAAAGAAACATTAAGTTTCCGCAGAGTAGGCAAATAAATGCTTTCAGTGAATTCAACCTCAAGCTCGTACAGTCAAACGGTAGGGAAGTTGGTCACGTGTTGCAATTAGTACAAAAGCCCTCAAACTATTTGCGATACCTGGAGAACGCAATCAAAACTGTTGTATCCCGTATAAGTCAATACGTACGCAAGTAGTGAATTAAGTAGTAATTATATTTCCAGTATGTAAACGCAAACGTAGCCGGCCCGTAAGCCGGTGAGCAAGCAGTGCGTCAACACGCAGACAGGCAGGCACAGAACTGGCGCAGGTGTTACCAAAAGGAGTATGTCATCACGTTGGGCAGTGAACGAATCAATCAATGCGGACTGGTCAATACTGACCTCTGATTCGCTGAGGCGGATCGACCTTGTAACAGAGTGAGTCCGAATGAGGTGCGTACGTGCGTGTGGTGGCGGGTCACAACGGCCAATCACGTGATGGGCACATCACTCGACTGCAGACCACAACAAAAACTAACTGTACGTCGTTGTCATGATTACAAAGCATTCTGACTGGCTGGGGTAGTTTGGTAGCTTGAATCAACTTTCATTGTGTGCACATCAGGTGGTAGCTAACCTCTCATCTCCGAAACATTATCCCATCCATTCGGAAGATACTTTGAAAGCCGAAATGCAAAATTGAAGAGGAACGCACCAGAAAATACCTATCCGCATAAGTTCTATGTGGAGGGAAAATCATAGACCAGAAGGAGAAAAATGCTTTGAACATCAAACTTTTGTTGAAAGATACCACTGTTATCAGGGTTTCTAGAGTTTCATCTAACACGGTGCTGTTAATCTAAGACGCGTATTCTTTCAGTCAACAAGCATCGGATGACATAAAAATGATAAACCGCCAATAATCGCCTAATATATGATTGTCTACTAAATCACTTATGATGCGACTTAAGTACTTCGAGCAGTAGGTTGAGGCAGTAATATCAACGCATCAGAAAACACAATCCAATTTGGTGCATACATGGTGGGGGCCGAACTGTGCCAATCTGAACTTCTGCCCGTTCAGTGTAGGCGGGATACTCAGTTGACATGCACTCACAATCACCAATCCAGTTTCACTGCACCCCGTGAGAGAAATAAGGTTTCGGATGTGAGCGACGCAAAGGTGATCATTTTCCGTCTTGTGACAGGTGATTCTAGACCGCACAATTTTAACACGCACAAAGCTAATAAACGTTTCCATATAACTGTGGTGATCCTAGCTTACGGGATGGCTCAAACCACGGGGTGACACGTTACAATTTCCGGACAAATGTGTTGAGTGAAGCTTCCCATGTGATGCCAGTAAAGCACTTACGCGTTACGGCTTTCGGACTACGAACCATAGGCCGAATGTACCGACCAATCAGAAGCCATGCGGCCCAGACGGAAGCTATGCGACACCAGCAATATGAGTATGCGATTGGTAGATGCCTGGAGGACCAATGAAGTTCTTTTGTACATGTTACTTAAAACCCATGATTTCGTCCAGTAGATGAAGTGCTACTCCTGTAGCCTTTTCCTTGCGTCTCGATTACCTGGGATACTGTCGTGTAATGGCCAGTGTGATTCAGTGCTTACGTGGCGTCCGTGATTTCTGATAAATGATTCTTAATTCGTGTTCGGCGCGTACTTCAACCACCGCAGATAAGTACTTCGATATTGTCCTTATCCTAATGAATGCCCCGGAGGTCTCCTTACATTGAATCCTTCGCCGTCTCTATCGGAAATGGACAGACCAAAGAAAACCGAAGGAACAGATTATGATGTGAAATATTTGGGTGGTTTCCGCGAGAGCGAGCTTCAATCAGCTCTGTGCGTGTTAAGACTTTCTCACAAATTAAACGGACTCTGTTTTCTTCGAAATAAGAAGATTGCTTTAAATTTGCACGAGCATAACAGTGAACAGAAGCATTGTTCAGCAATGCACTTTCCCTGTAATCTTCCTGCGATTGTACCTGGTCTATTGAAAGCTGAATTGAATTTACTGAAGCGTGACGTCATCGCTTTCAGCCGTGTCTCTCGCATTCCCGTACTAGCATCGGTGCTGTATCGACGATGCATGTTCGAAGTTCGGAAATAAGGCTTTTGACTGCCAGCATAAGCCTACATCACATCAACCATCTGCTTGTAAACGAACTGTAGGATTCCTTCGACAGCTGATCCACGTTCTGTTCAGTGTTCCTCTTAGTTATTATCTTTTGCCCGTATTGCAACGACGCCTTGTTTTGGGATCAATCCTTGTGCACAATTTTTTAAATCTTTAGTTTACCACAATATAAATCAATAATATGTAATATTGAGCTCCCATTTACACGAGATGCCGCAAGGGGAAGAATCAGTAGGGGGCATTTTGACGCAGCGTAGTCAATATTCAACTCATGCAGATCAGCTGTTTTTTTTTGCTAAAACCAATGATCAGATATTAAAATAAGGTAGCAACTAACATTCCCGACCTATTCCGAGTTTTTCATCAGAGCGAAACTGTCTGAACCACAGCAGCACTCTCCACAAACAAATCATCAAAATTGACATCGTATGGAATGAGCCAAAACTGGGGAACATATGTTAACATCGGGTTGGAAATGGAGTGCAGTAAGCAACACTTGCACTGATTCGATGTGAATCTGGAACTTGGCGTGACGATGCGACAAAATCTATCTATCTATCTATCTATCCATCTATCTATCTATCTATCTATCTATCTATCTACCTATCTATGTGTGGTAATCAGAATAGTATTGAATTTAGGTATACGAGAATCCGTACTGTACTGCTCAGAACTGAATTGGCTCCAACCCAAACTGCGGACACGAGGAATTGATAGCAGCAAATGCTTGTTTATTGATAGAATAAGAGCATGTTTTATAGAAGGAAATATCTCATAGGATTGGTTGAAGGGCCGTCGTCCAGTTACGTAACCGTTTGCTCCGACGCCTCATATGAACTAACTCGGATGTCACGTTCGCCCAGTGTACCATTGGTCGAGCTTCCTGAACAGTGATTGGATGACATGAAACTGTACCTAGTCGTGCATGGATTGCGGTCACGGAAGTCCGGATCACCACACTATCTATGTATCTATTTATCTATCTGGGTGCATATAAATGCAATAATGTGTGCAATTTTCGGGGATATTTCGGTGACATGCAGCAATCCCATCAATGGTATTATTTTTAAAATGGCTGACGATGATTTCCCTCTTATCACACCATGTAGAGTTTATATTGGCAAAAGCACCAACTTCCAGTTTTTGAGGCAATGGAATTCGTCGTAGATGTTTTTTGCATCACATGCTGTTATAGGCATCATCGGTTAATTTCTATATCCAATTTTGACCGACGAGTTTCTTCTGCTAGTCGATACTTAAAGAGATGCTTCTCAAGAACATCAACATATGAAGTTGTGTTTATAGATGCAGACCACGAAACTGCATTTTCTATGAATAATAATATTCTTCAATAGGCTTTACGATGTATACTGTTCAACATGCTGTAAACTCAAAACAAAAGTCCAAACGCTGATCTACAAAACTGTGTTTTGAGTAAGTTTGAATGACCTCTATCATTTAGGACTGGAATCGTTTTAGGAAGATCTGGAAAATGCGAAACCAAAATGTCTCAAAAACGTTGAAAACGAACATTGTTCCAGGTCCTTTTGCAACCCGAAGGTTTTTTAGAAAATTTCGTTTTAAAGAAGCGGGTTATCGTGCTCTATTCAGCAAAAGAATACTGAAGGCAATCAGCAAAGNTCATTCGATATCTGCCGAGTAGCTGTATAAATCTCAAATGTATACTGTTCTCATTGTCTAATCCATGGTAGTTATATCAACTTAAGCATTTATTGCTCATCTTCAGGCCGGCTATAAGATAAGATATTCATTACAGTGGATCCAACAGGATGACAACAAACATCGAGCAGTACCACGTAGTAATACCATAAAAAAGCTCAACTAAAATCAATAATCGGTTGTTATGTCCATAAAAAACCAAGGTGTAATCGAAATTTCACTCGATTCATGGGTTGCTGTAGAACTAATCACGGCTTCGNTGAATCAATAATGAAAACTTTATGGAAAAAGCTTATTAAAATCGTCAATTATATAGTGGATCAAGGTTGAATAGGAAAGCGTAAGTGAGTACACCCTTCGATAACTGAAAGTATGCAAATAACTCACTTTATAACAACCGGCATGCCATTGTCCTTCAGGTTCCAAACGAACCGCACCACCTACTATATCCAATGCCCAGTCATTGAGAACACGAAGCAGTCTATCAATGTCCGTATGCTCAGAGAAAGTGACCATATTCCGTGCAACTAATATATACTTTGTTCTCGCTTCCTGAGCCAAAATGCGCCATGTCTGGGGCTCGGTGAACTGTTCCGGAATGATGCGTAGATCAACCAAAGGGGCACACGATACTTCTTCACTGTTCGTTGCCAAAATGATTGGCAATTGGGGATGAAGAGAGTGTATTCGTTTCACCACTGTGCATCCCACCTCGATCGTTTCCGGGTAGAGAAGAACCGTAACCAATTTTTGGACTGGTTGGCGAACACATTTGGTGGGTCTGTACAGTTGCGGGAAATCTGATTCTTCAGTGCTTACCACGGTACGCATCTCTGGACAGACTTCCGGACGGCGAGATTTGGTGGGCGTGTTCCGCCTTACTGTGTTTCCTTCGATTACGCCCATTTCGAATAGTACTGGATTAAGGCTGCGCAATGCATTGCGAATACTATTTCTGGTTTGTATTTCACGCGCTTTCCGATGCGCCTCAACCAGGAGAGTGCGAACTTCCACCAACCTGTTTCGTTCTTCCGGTGCGAATGCAGGACCTGTTTGGTTGCTAAAGATGAATTTAGTAATCGAATGCATCAGGTTTAAACAAGAATTCCAGCGCGAGGATGGTACTATTCTCTACGGTAGTTCTGTATGAAATAGCCTAATTTAGTATAGTTTGCGCTCTTGGGGATCGCAAACAAATATTGTCTGACGGTTTCCAAAAGAGTAACATTTTCATAAATCTGCGAACTTGAGGTCAGACAATACATTTTTTTCAGTTTATGCGTGCGCAACCAATGACCCGATACATTCAGATGCCGGTTTTATTTGTTGGTTACTTGTATAGTCGAACAATGAGAAAGTATTCAACGGGTTTTAGGGGAAAGCGGGTCAAAACTGGATCTGTGTTGAAAGTAAGCAAATAAACGAGCACGGAACAAGAACCAAACCAAGTTACTTACCCGAATATACTCAATGCCCAGAGATTGAGCGAAGCACCGAGAAGAGATACAGCAACAATTCCTTGGATCACATCGATTGCTCGAAGCTTGGTAGCACAAAGCGGTAAGGAGGCGGGGAATTGAAAAAGACTGGATTTTGGACTGAAAACTTGCCTAGCAGTAAAAACATCAGTTTGGTCCCCGAAAACTCACAGCAGATGTGACAAAAGGTTTTTTCACATCTTTGTTGATGCCATTAGACATATGGGTGAGCTTTCATCGATGGAAATTTCCGAAAGTGATGGAGTCTGTCTGTTGTTCAATAAAAATCGTTCACTCCCACTTTGGTTTTGTCCTTCTTAAACAAACCCTAATTCGTTTAACATTTACCTGAATCAGTTATCCAGTAAACTGAATGGCTGAGCTTTCAGAGAATAGGTTGCTTGGTACCAGTAGCACAAATAGCGGCTGAGTTTTGAGCAGTAAATAACTCCAATGGTAAAAATAATTGATGACAAAGACCATTGAAGTGCTGAACATAAGGATCGGAGTTTTCCACTCTCAGGGAACGGGAAAAATCGGAAATCATTAGTCGATTGAAAGGGTTGTCTGTGTCAAACTAGACGGGAGATAATATGAGGGAAAGTACACTCATTTGGCTTAGACGTGGTTCAGTTAAACTTTACGCTTCCTTAAGGGGTCTTTATTATGCCACTTAAAGGTAGGACCGTAAACATATTGAAAAAATAATGGATACTTACTACGTGTGTTGTTGTGGATTACGATTACGTATGCTTCTTAACAGACAGGAATTTAATCTAGGTGTCAGTTAAATATCATACAGTCTTTAGTACCAACACTGTGAATCTGTCCTAGATCATTCATCCTAAAGTTAATAACTTAGTAGCGTAATCAAGCTGATATATGAGTCGCGAGCTACGAATAAGATTCCTCAAAAACCGCGACAAGAACAAGGGGTTTGGTGACTCATATTTTCAACGAAACGAAAACAGCAAATCTGTAATTATTGTAATCAAATAGATGGAAAGGCCAGATAATGAGTACATATGGAAATGTGAGCAGATCGTATAATGCAGGCAAACGTAGGTTTCCGGTGAATTGATCAAAAGTCCCGTTCAGAAGATACTGTCAATGAAAAGCTGTTATCAATAAGGAAACTTCTTTTGGCAAATGTTTGTCCCCAAAATGTTATTGGTCGTAATTAAACTGTACGACCTAGCCCGTCAAAATTACCTCGGGTGGGTAGAAAATTTGTTTACTAACCTTTTTAAAATAAACATTGCGACCGAAGGAATTCGTAGAACATTATACACCTTAGTGAATTCCCAATATTCGGCGCCATAACAAGGATAGTTGCCACCATGTACCTCATCTCTCATTTCCATTTCTTTATAGGCATTTCTTTATGGGCCAAAGTATAGACAAGACTAAGATTCACCATGTTACACATAGGATGAAGTTGACTGAAAATGCTCTCAACTTTCAAAACCAATTGCCCAGTCCTGCCATATTTGAAATGAGCAACTAAGAAAAGGGTTCTGCATACGTGTTATACACATTAAGCTGTGCACTCAGCAAACGTGGATGCACCTGTGGAACAAAGATTTTATGATATTCTCAGTTATCCTCAGCATTTCTCTGCCCTTCTGATATGTGATTCTCAGAATAGAAACAATGTCGGTGATGACAACTTCCCAATAGGTATAGTGGCTCCTGAATCACCGTTATTTCTATTGACACTCTCGCACTAATTCACTCCTTGTTAAGTAATTGTCAATCTTTCATCAAAACACTGTCTTCCAACACTGTGCAATACACGGTTTGACGTTATGCCCCAATAGAACCCTCAATACTGATATTTCTTACTATTCTTTATATTATTGAGTATCTGGACCTCTGAACCAAAGACTACTCATTATCTCTTATTTCGAGTTTCCACCTAATTCAACTGCCTTGCTACAATAAACTCACAGTGGATGTTCTGTTGACCACCAATGCTCTCGAAAATTTCTGCTCTTTACCGTTACTATGGTATATACAGTAGGGTCACATTCGTCCTCATTGTGAACTATCGGCGGTCAATGGCTGTTAGGACTGTGTTCAAAAAATGACTCTGGTCTGTATAGTATTAGGTAACACGGATTTTACATGTGTATTCATATATAAAACTATTTCAGGACTGTTAAATTAAACAAATGCAAATCATACACCTAGATCCCTTGATTCAGCTTCGGTAAAAAATATGAAAGAATCCAGAGCGTCCAAAGAAGCTAAATAAAGCCTACCTTTAGGATGTGGAAATATCTAAGCCTGACCAAGAACCGCATTCGGGACTCGGCGCGTGATTTGAAAGCCAACTGGTATGCGGATCAATATTCACCTGACCTTGCCCTCGGCACTCCGCTGCTGAAAATGGCCTTCAGGTCAAAATAATGCACTTAATCTCATTGAAAGGTAGTAGCGTAGCCATTATCATCATTGGTTTGTCCTGACTGAATCATCGTTCCCCACGTGATTTTATTCTCAAACAAATTGTCGTATGTTGCAGCATCACATTAAATGAAAGGTAAATTGTCTGAAGTTTCATACATTCTGGGAAGAATACAAATGTTACCGATTGTTTTGAATTGTTTTGCTTATCAATTTTCTGCTAACATGCATCTCCCGTAGAAACTTTAGGTGATCAACCTTGTTTGATATAGCTACATTCTTTTGTTTTACCATGAAATAGGATTCACATTTTCATCCAACTGATAAACAGGTGGTTTGACGAGTACTACACCGTTTGAGGACGTTGTATTCGAATTATTAGATCAGGTGGGTAGAGTAGTCTTGGTGTAACCCATGGATAACTTTTTCTTACATCCTATTTCTGTTGATCAGTAGCTTAGCTTTAGGAGGCAGGTCACAACACACGACGGCTGGATTAATCGATCAATCAAGTATAGAAATGATTCCGGGATAATTCAGGCATAGAACATCCCTCTGGACAGCACCGAAGATTATTTTGCAATAACTTATCAAAAACAACTAATTGAGCGAGCAAGAGAATGCAGTTTGAGTAGGGGGGTGGTGGTGGTGGTAAGTTACTAGTACTAGTACTAGGTATCGTATCATGCGACCGCCTCTGTTTGACCAATAAAATGCTATAAACTCTTTTAGAGCAACGGAAATAGTTAGCGTGACACTACAGATTTTGAACAAGTATTAACTGCTCATAAGTATGAACATCTGCAATCAAAAATACTACCTGGTAACCAAGGTAATTCAGCAGCCGTAAGCTGCTGTTGTGTAACGTTATTTTACACTAGGAATATGCTTAATTGTTTGGTAATGATATTGAACGAAAAAAGTGCCTGGGTAGACAAAACAAATGTTTGTGAAATATGGCACTTTGGAATAGGCACACTCACGAATTAGGCAGGCATTCTAAAAGATACCCCAGATCATCTGAATATTGTCTGCCATCCCAAATTTCTTTGAATGATACGTCACCAAAACATTTACATCTACATTTATATATGTATCCATCGAGATACATAGATAGGTAGATAGATAGATAGATAGATAGATAGATAGATAGATAGATGGATTTTGTCTCATCGTCAAGCCAAGTTCCAGATTCACATCCAGGCAACGTGATTGTTTCTGGGGGGTCTCCTTTTCGGACCTGATGTTGATATTTATTTCCGAGTTGTAGTCAAGACGATACAAAGACAACTTCGAGAATGATGTGTGGAGAGTGAGACTGTTGTTGGGACAGGCATGGCTTTGATGAACACTCAGAATAGGTTGGGAATTGCATTTTAAGGTAAGCAGGCATCCGGGGTATTCAGTAAAATAAAGATTAAATTGGAGTACGCAACATGAAGAGGTAAATTAACCTTGTGCGTATCAAACTCATGTGGTTTAGAATTATCTGGTGGCCCCAAATTATTGTGGATTGCAATAACAGGTTAACCAGCTTTGGAAGCTTTAAGGTGAAAGGGCTATAAGATTCTACCGCCAAGTACACTCGAATTGTTAAGAAATCCTGTCTTGTTTTGTTAATCTATGATCCTGATTTCGTTGAGAAAGCTTACAGTTTGTGACCTTGCAGAAGTCGAACGGTCAAAGAGATGCACGTTTGCGGTCCAATTGCAATGGGACATACATGTAATCTAGGATGCTAGGACGCTACTGAAACCTCAGTTGATGGCAATTAGATGACAGGAAAAATAACCTAACCCTGGTTGGATTATTTCTACGCCATCAGTACCTCCAGCGAGGAATAGTTCGTTTCTATATTAAATAAGTAGGACTTGAAAACAGTGCGCTGTAAAATTAGTGGAAACACCAACTGTCAGAGTAGATAATTGATTACCGAATCGGTGACTCGGTATCAGACGCTTGTTAGTATTCATTTGACAAAATCTGATCCTATATATATATATATATATATATATATATATATATATATATATATGTGCTACCGGCTTGTAGACAAGCAAGGTGCCAACGCAACAACAATACTTACAATAAAAAGGAAAGGGAACCGGTGGAATGGAGTACAGAACAGGGTGAAAAGGGGAAGAAACAATTAAACACGGGAAAATGGAAGGTATCTGGAATAACAAAAACATTTTGTGTTTC